TACAATGGACTCTGGACAAGGTGCTTTCCTCCAAGTTCGAAATTGTGAAAACAAGGTCAAAGAACTTCTAAAACGTAGTTATTTAAAAAAAATTTAATTATTATATTCTTAACTGTGACCCAGCTGGCCTATCACTAATTCGCAAAAATGTAAAATGTGTTTGTGAAAGGAAAATATTCTGAAGAGTAGGCCATAATTGACTACTTGGACGTATTCGGGGTAATTAAATTCTTATTATGTTCTTAGTTTATTAGTTACGAATTATTTAATTTGCTTCTGTCAGGAGGACATAACTGATATGCGATTGATCGTAAAATATGATTTTGCCCCTTACATTTATAGTACCGAATTTCCCTATACTGTCAAAATTCTCTATGACTACATCGTGGAAGGCTTGACAACGTGTGAAATAACTCAAAATAGATGCCACATTTTAAAAATTTTAATATGCCATGAGGAGTTAAGTTGTCATGGGGCACACGTTTCATATTTTTATCCATAAACTGAATCATGGAACATGCGATGCAGGCTCGTCCTCACGAGGTGCAGACAAATTTTGTTCTTGTTGCTGAGATATGGCAGTTTCGACTGATTTCTTGTTGCTGTGATAATGAGTCTGCCCAAGATAAAGCGAAAAGATGGCTTGATTGTCTAATCTGAAATCCGATTTTCCATCTAATCTCATCCTGGATGGACTGGGGCTTCGAATCCGCCTCGAAGTCTCATCCACAACGTCAGAGAGATTCGAAACATGGGCACGCAGGTTAAGAGGCAAGCCTGTTGGAATTTCGTATAATTATACGAAGTGGATTTCGATGAATATACCAAAATAAAACGAATGTTGTGTTGACAGAAAATCTAAAAAAAATATGATTACAACTACATAATGACTTGGTTATTCATTTTCATCTCAATATAAAATACTTTGGTTTTTGTGCTTGCACATATTTTTGTGTTCTTTCGCGCATAATCACGAGCAGGGCGCGAAATCACCAGTCTTCATTCAGAATGATTAAACTAGAACGTAACGTGGATCGCGTAGTCCCTAGCATGCATCCGCTTGAGCTGATGAGCTCGACAGACGTGTCGAAAGAACGTGAACATGTCTAGTACCATGAATGGGCCAACCGGTTGAGTAACATTCTTTTTGTCAGTGCACCAACACCCGCTCTCTTCTCCTCTCTCCTCAAGTCTATCAGTAGTGCATAAGTAGTTTTTACCCAATAACTGCCTCCATTCATTACATTCAACTTGGCTCCTAATCATCATCAAACCGATGCTTTTTTGATAATTCCATCTGGTTGCAAGCTTCTGCCTCGGCTCAGCCACTCGCGAACTATGCATTGAGCAGTCGGTACAAGCAATTTTGTGTTCGGCTAACATTTGCTCTCTTAAGAAGATAGATAAAACCCATCGTCAGGTTCAGGCGGTGACAAGATTTCGTGCTCATTTGATTAGACTTGTGTTGCAGAGACCTGTTGCCCAATCAGCCAATTGGTAGCAGAACACAAAATGCTCTTAAAGTTTATGGATGCATCAGTCAGAGGTGGCTGAAGACTGGACAGAAAATGGTATCAAACGTATCGTTATGTCAATTAGCATACAGCTTCAGCTGAACATATTTTTGAGTAAACATTTTCTTGAAAGACTTTTCAAAAAGCATCGTCACCATTGTACCCTTTGGCTCATTTTGCACGCCATTTTGTGAATTTTATGATCATGAAAGAGAGTTGAGTCACCCTTGGGATGACTACAACTCTTATTCGAGATCTGACAGCATCGAAGCCAGCTTCTGCTTCAGAGTTGAGATCAGTCCTTGACGGTTTGGCGTCATGGGGGCTCAAAGGACCTGCTGGCGAACTGGGCCAAGAATGGCGTGTCTTTTCCACTGTAACCGGTGATACAGACTTTTGAGTAATCGTATGTCAGTGCGCTAAACAATGCAAGCCGACAACATGACAAAGCTGTCTGAAACAGTGGCATGCATCCAAAGATTGAGGCCCTTGCAAAAACAGGATACCAGCCTTTTTACATTTCCAGCGAAATTATATCGAAAATGGTCGTCAGCTCCACCTACCACGCCAATGAAAAACTTTGACCTTGGCGCATTGTAGAATTGTGCCAATTTACTGCCGAAATTGAGATTCGGGAGTTGTTCAGCTTCCTCACTGGGGAAAGAGGTACATTTTTCAAGGCTGTTCAGAGCCGCATTCTTCGATGGCGACTCCCAACCGTGCTCATTCGACATCTGAGCTGGCCAGTAATCTGAGGAGACCGGCGGCTCCAGCACAGACACCTGCTTGCTCGACTCCATGCCTAGAGCATTTTAGACAAATGAATACAAGAAATTAGCGAGAACTTTTTTTGATAAAGTAGAACAATTTATCTTAGGATTGAATTCAAGCCGAATTAGCATAAAAGAACAGTTTAGATTAATTGTGTCTTTGAGCTGAAATTAAATTGCTTTGAGTTGAGGCTTAAAGTAAGTTGGTCCTTGCACTTAATCGCGAGGCCTATCAAGAGCTTCGTTGGTTAACACTAAAATTGCCTTCCTGAACAAATGCTTTTTACTCAAAAGATAAGAAGTCCAAGATGGTGTGGCGTCTGGTAAGCAAAACCATGGAAACGAATGAACAGTTAGTGCTTCATGCGGATAAAGGAGGAGCTACAGTGACACTTGATAAAAAACAGTATACCGAGAAGAGTGAACATATTCTACGAGACAGGACCACATATCTTATACTAAACAGGGACCCAACTATGAAGATCAATGGAAGCTTTAGTGACATACTAAAAGATATGTATGAAATTCAATCACGACCACCAACAGCCTGCGGATTAATGAAGATATAGAAAGAAGGCGAGCCACCAAGTCAACAACAAGTATGGAGTAAGTAGGGTTTCGAGACTA